AAAGTCAATGGAAAAGCAGCCACAGTCGGGAAAACAGAAACAAGGGCAGGTCAGATGAGGTTTCGGGTAGGAAAGGGAGGTTTAGGAGGGTATCAGAGAACGCACACATTCACCCAGCAAACAGCTGCTGAGTCTGCAGGTGCGGGCTGGGCCAGGAGTGTGACAACGAGCGGGACAGGCCCCACGGGGCCTCACCTTTGGTTTTAGAGCCAGTTCCACATGCCCAGAGACACAAGCAAGACAACACAACAAAGGGAGAGTAGGGCTTCCTTAAACAGAAAAGAGGAGTAGTCTGTCATCCTTTTTCTTTATTTAGTGTTAGTAGCTTCCAGCAGCTCTGGTGACATATTGATAAGGAGTTGTGTTGCCAACCAAAGGCACAGGGTTCCAGCCCACCAACTGCTCTGTGGGAGAAAGATGAGCAGTCTCCTCCCCTGTGACTTATTGCTTCTGAAAACCTGCTGGAGGATCAGCTGTGAGTCCATTCTAACTCGACAGCACGTGACAAAGCTTTCAGCAGTGTGTTGGTGTGCCCACAAAACCTGATGTGTCGTGTTTGCCCATTTCTGTGGTGGAAATACTCTGACGTTCACGGTGAATTTCAGAATCCCAACGTGATGCTCAGCTGACATGCAGGTTTGAGTGTGGGGAACCCTGCAAACAGCTCCAGCATGAGAGCTGGCTGGAGCCCAGAGAGTGGAAGAGCCAGACTGTTAACTCAGCCTGGGACTGCAGTGGACAGTGGCCCTCACAAAGTCACGTACCACCCCCAGGGGCTATCATTAATCACGTTCCAAGCAAGCAGTGTATAACTATAGTTGCGACTTGCAGGGTATAAGATGGGAATAGCCAGTTGCCTTCATGTAGTTACTCGCTCACGGCGACCCCACGTGTATACGAGTAGAGCTGTGGTTTTCAGGGGCTGATGTTTTGGAAGTAGCTTGCCAAGCCTTTCTTCTGTGTGAACTCAAACAGCAAATCTTTCTGTTCTGCCTGTACGTCACACTGCTGCTCAACAAGTGCAGCCCTCCAGTCGCAGCCCTCCTCCCTGCAACGCCTAGGCTTGAAAGAAATGACTTCTAAAATGCCTTGTCTTCTCATTGTTCATTCATTCAGCAAGTGTGTCCTGACCTCTCTGTTGTTGCTGGGCACAGTATTGGACTCCGGGAGCCAGGGGGGCAAGACAGGCGCAGTGGCTGTGGAACATGTCAGCACTGGGGATTCTGGGCCCAGAAGTGGGCTCCCATCCTCATTCTAACTCCAACTTTCTGGGTTCCCTGAACAAGTTACTTCTTCTCTTTGAGCCTCAGTGCTTCCTCTGTAGCGTGAGGTACTTGGACTTGATGGTCACTAGGACCCAGCCCAGCCCAGGCCTTTTGTGAATCCAGAAAGCAAGGGGGCCTGGGAGCCACATGAGGGAGGGTTGGTGGAACTGTGAATTCCCCGTGGGAGAGCAGTCAGGGGCCCCTGAAGATCTGTCATATGTCATGTGAGAGGCATCGACATGATTATGTGGCACCTAAAGGTAGGAGTGATAAGGAGGAGAGCCTTCCAGCTCCATCCTGGGGGGGCCTTTGGGACACTTAGAGAGTGGGACCCCCTTGTGGAGGTCTGAACACTCCGCCATTCAAACAGGAGCTAGTGGCCCTGCCAAGACCACATGGATGGGACTCCTGGGCAGGGGGAGTTGATCATAAAACCTCATAATCATCAGTTCTGAGGGAATAAAAAGAAAAAGGAAAATCATTTGGTCCACTGTGTTACTCAGAAAAAGAAAACAGGTTGCAAAAAAACATTATCAATACATTTTTTTAAAAATCAATGCCTACAGTGGGAGGGATGAGGGTGGACACTGAAAGGAAAATGATCAAAACTTTAACTAGGGTTGGATGAGGATTTTTTTTCTCCCTCCATTTCTCGATTTTCAAATGTTTGGTCATAGGGGGATGTTATTTTTTAAATGAGAGTGGATTTATTTTTTAAGGAACATCATCTAGTCCAACCCTCATCCTAGGACAGGAATCCAGCTTACAGCTGCTGAGTTCTCTTCCAGTGGGGGTTCCCCCAGGTATGACAGCAGGAGAGGGGAGTAAGATGTCACGGAGGTCTCCAAGTGCCAGATTCCACAGGGCAGGGTTCAGAGGTAAAGGCCCTGTGGGGATGGGGCCCGTGCAATGAAGACTGGGACCCAGATGTGAGGATCTCAGCCCCACACTGCAGTGGGAGGGGAACTCAGTCAGAAAACAGACTGCCAGTTCAGACTCAATCTGATGAGACAAAATGTGGAGAGTGTCTCTCTCTCTCTCTCTCTCACACACACACACACACACACACACACCCTCAGCTCAGGGGAAGCACACTGGTGTGCTTCCTTTCCCTATCAGTTATCACTGGATCCAGTTGCCATCAGGTCATCCCCAATTTGTGGCAGCCCTTGAGTGCGGGAACAGACCTATGCTCCATGGCACCGTCTGTGGTTCATTTTCAGGTCTCCAGGCCTTTCTTCTGAGTGGACCTGACCTGCTAACCTTTTCGGTAGCTGCCAAACACGGTAGCCATTCACTTCGTCTAGAAACTCCCACGATAGGATTTGTTGTTATTACTGTCGGTTGATGCACGTCAGAGTAGAGCTGTGCTCCCTCGTGTCAGTGCTGTTACTTGGAGATATAGATCTGCAGGCCTTTCTTCTGAGGCACCTCTGGGTGGACTCAAACCAACGTCCTCTCCGTTAGCAGTTAGCAGCCGAGTGAGCATGTTAGCCGAACCCTTCCCCTACCAAGTCTGCTAATAATTAACACTAGACAAAGGTACTTTCTTGATGATCATGCCAAGTGCGCGTGCACATACACACACACACACACACACACACACACACACACACACGGAAAAAGCTCCGCTCACACCCAGCCTTCCCCTAGCATCCATCGATCCCCTCTTCCCTCATTCTAGGCTCCCTGTTACCCCTTCCTCTGCTCCTGCTACCCAATCTCCTCTGAATCCTGTTTTCCGTGGAGAAAGGCCTCCCTGTTCACAAGGCCGCCTTCTCGCATAAAAGACTCAGTGAGGCCTCAGACACTTGGAACCCAGACAGAATGGAATTTCTCCCTATTTTCTTTACAGCTGAGAAAACACACACAAACACAAGAGCATATTTATTGCAATATTTCTATCCCAAAGTTTGTCTTTTTTAAAAAAAGAAGAAGAAATAAAATTAGTTTTTCTGCCTGCTCCACCCCTACCCTCAAACCACCCTCCCCCGCGTTTCATTCCTTCCCGTTTCCTGGTCTGGGCCAGGGAGGAAAACAGCAACCCCGAGCCCCACAGAGAAGCACTGCATCCCGGACAATGTCCAGCTTGTTCAGGGAGGGAGGGAAGAAACACCACTCTGAAAACATACACAAAACTTCCCAAATGAAGGGTGTTCTGAGGGAAGAACAGGTGGGCCTTGTGTCTGAACACGGAGTCCCTGAGGCCTTGGGAAGAGAGGAGCCTGCTAGTCTAGGCCCCTTCCCCAGGGTGGAGAGGACACCTGACCCTTTCACCCTCTGGGGACCATTTCCCAGCATGGAGCGGCCACAACTGGCTTTGAAGAGGAGTGTCACAGCTCAGCAGCCCCTCCCAGGGCCAGGGGCCCCACAGAGTTCTATCAGGGCAGCATCTTGTCACAGCTCAGCAGCCTCTCCCAGGGCCAGGACCTGGAGCCCCACAGTTCTGTCAGAGCAGCATCTAAGTTAATCCCTGGGGTGGGGGGGGTGGGGTACAAGGACCCATTCCATCTACACTGGCCATCTGAGAAAAGAAAAGTTTGTCTGTGTGGATTCAAGATAACCTCTTGAGGCTTGGGAAGGTTCTGAGGAGTAGATAATCACCACATGCTGGGTTCTGGATGGACTCAGGACCTCTGACTCTAGTAGAAACTCGGGACAACTCAGGAGTGAGATGATGGGTCTGGGACTCTGGTCCTTTTGAGTGGGACCCCTTCCCAAGCCCTCTCAGGAGATTAGTTAAGCCAATAGCAACGTCCTCCTGCAGGGCGGAGGGGACACCAGTGGCCGCCCCTCACTATGTAACACTCTCAGCCTCTGAATCCAGTCGGCTACTATTGAATTCTGCTCTGGCCCATTAGGGTTTGCCATGAGTTAGAATCTGCATAGTGACACCTGGAACTGGAATTCCTTGGGGTCTAAGTCTGCTGACCCATTTGGGTTCAGGTGTACCCTGTCAGCCGATCAGAGATGCGCTTTATAAGAAGGATGTCTTACAATGTCACAGGGTCATCAGGAGAATTGTTCTGATTTACACCAAGTCATTGAACAAGAAGGAGGGCTGCTGGGTTCAAAGCAGGGTCATTCTGACAGCATCCAGGCCACTGAATCTTGTGTGACTCTTGGGGTGTGTGTCATCCCGAAGTACAAACTGGGGAACTCTCATGGGGAAGGAGTTGTGCTGCCAACCAAGTTGCTCCAAGAGAGAAAGATAGGCAGTCTGTGTCGCTGTGATTTATAGCCTCTGAAAACCTGCTGGCGGGTTAGCTGAGTGGGTTCCGACTCCGTGGCAGTAAAGAAGCTTTGCTCACTGGAGGGAAGAGGCTCCTTGGAGGAGTTTATCCAACCCAAACCAGACCAAACCCATTCTCATCAGGTCCAACCTGACTCATCCCAACCCTAAAGCACAGGAGGAACTTGTCTGTAAGTCATGAAGGTTCTAGGTCTCTGAAGAAGCTGACTGCTTCATCTTTCTCAGGCTGGCTGGTGGGGTTGAGCTGCCGACCGTTGGCTTTGTAGACAAGTATTTTAAATGCTGCACTACCAGCCATCTTCTTTCCAGTCTAAGAATTGTGATTAAACTGAGAAAACCCAGTTGGATCTGGAGGCTCAGGGAGGTGTGTGGGGGGGAGGATTACTTATGTCATGTGGTTTCCAATCTTGGACTTGTTCCATGACCCTCCTGGGCTTCAGCTGTTCAAATCCCGCCTCTGCCTTTCCTCTTCCAGGTGAACTATGACCACTTTACTGCTGGTGTTTGTGACTCTGAGGGTCATCACTGCAACCGTCTCCGTAGAATTCTCAGGTGAGGACCTTCCACGCAGGTGTCATGTCTCAGAAGGCACTGAGGACCAGCCTCAGGGTCCGGGAACTGACCTGCCTCCTACCAGCCCCAAAGATTCCATTCCCATAAACGTGTGCATGCATACATACAGCACACACGCACACGTGTACACTTGCACCAACGTGCATTGTGCACTAACCACGTATACACATGCACCCCTGCTCACATGCACATATACAAGACCCCTCACTCAGCATTGCTCCTGCCTGCACCTACCTGCCTTCCCAGTGTCCCCCTCCACGTGCTGTCCCCCTGCGCACTGAGCTTGAGTGAGGTAGGACACAGAGAACCCAACAGAGAAAAATGAAACCTGTAAAGGGCAGATCAGTTGAAGCATCAGAGATAAATATCATCTGAGAATCAACCTGAAAGAAGCCCTAGCGAATCAGACAACTTCCCACCCTTTCTGGCAAGCTGTTCCCAGCAGCTCTGTGGGCCTCCTGCTTGTGGCAGGCGCTAAGGAGCGTTCTGAACACCCAGTGCTGAACCAAACAAGCAGGCCTCCCAGTGGCTCCCCAGTGGGATGCTGTAACCAGTACTTGCCTTGGGCCCAGGTAAGAGCTCCTGCCCTGGACCTTTGGAGGCCCCTCTGACCTCCTCCAGCCCAGCTCTGCCCGGCAGGCTGTAGGGCTCACCATGTGTGTCCATGCAGCCCTGTACTGCCTCTTCAGATCACATCACAGCTACCCAGGAGGTCCAGGACCCTTGTCCTAACAGCCCACCCCTTCCAGGGCCTGCACAGGCCTCTTCTCTAAACCCATCTCCTGTGAGATACAGCCCTAGATGACCTGCCCCTCATCCTCACAGCGGCTGTTTGCACGGGGTGTTGACTGAGCTCAGATGTAGCTTGGAATGTGCATGAGATGCTTCATAGTGCAGGGCACAGTCCATGCTCCCCTCTTTCACACTCCCATATGTAGTGTAGAACTCCAGAGAGCCAGTGGGTTCAACATTTGAACTTGACTTTCCAGGTCGAATTGAAAGGTGGACTCGTCCAACGGGAGGTAGGCCATATGTTCTTTAAGTCTGTTGGCTTAATGGACAGCTTAGAAAAAGAAAAAAGAAAACCCAACAGCTAGCCAAGGGGTACACAGCCTGCCTTTGCACTCTTGCTGCGGGACCACCACATGCAGACCCTGGCCAAGACCTGGGTGGTTTGTTCACAGGGCAGACCTGGCCAGAAGCCTGGCCAGAAGCTCCAAAGCTGCAGATCTGGCCATTGCTGTCCCCTTCAGCTCACTGCCAGTGAGGCCACGTGTGTTAGAAATGTGGAGACCAAGCATTCAGGGGTGATTTTTGTGGAAGGACCTGGCAGTGGCTGCGCAGGACACCACAGGATTAGGGCTGGACTCCAGGCATTCCTGGCTCGCCCTTCCTTGCCCTGTTATGTACCTCCCACCCACAAATATCTGAAACATTTTTTATGTTCAACCTGTAGGTACTCTTGGAAAGAGAGCTTTCATAAGTTTATGACACACCATGAAAGGTGCTATTTTTTTCCCCAAAAGATATTTCTTTCCCATTCCAGGCTGGCCTCTTACTGCTCATGGATCTTGGTGAGCATAAGGCACCTTCCCTATGAATATGTACCACGGTTTTTGTGGTGTCTGTTCAAGTTCCTTCACCTCCTCTGTCCACCTCATTGCAGGCTAATAGGCCTCATCTTTTCTGGTGGTTGTCCAGTAATTCCCTTACATCCCTAACATCAGAAGAGAGTATCTTATCCCCATCAAAGGCAAGCAAAGAGCCTAGAGCCAGCCTCTGGGCATGTTTTTAAAATTTTGTGTCTTAGCTTTCAAAGTTGTGTGGGACTTATTTTCCCCCTACCCCATAAGGTAGTCATTTTTCTTTTTTTAACATTGCTAGTTGCCGTAATGTGGGTTCTGACTCCTGGCGACCCCATGTGTGTGAGACAAGATGTGCGCTCCATAGGGTTTGCAGTGGTTAATTGGGGGGAAGTGAGTCTCCAGGCCTTTCTTCCAAGGTACTTATGGGTGGACTCGGACATCCAACTTTTTGGTAGTCAAGCATGTTAACCATTTGCTCCACTCAGAGCCTGGTAAGCATAATTTTTTTTCCCAAAATCTTTGGGTCAAACTGTCACTCCAGGAAGACAGATCCTGTTTCCCCTATGGTGATTATCCCCGAGGGTTAAGAAGCAGAGAAGTGGTCTTGATGCTGATGCCCTTGTGTGGGTCCTTTGAGACTTTAGAGTTTCCATCTGAAGGTTCAGAGACCAGGGCTCTTAAGAATGCAGCTCTGTAATGTTGCAAGTCTTCCTGGGAGTTTCCATATGACACAAGAACATCCTACCACTTGTCTCAGCCCCTCAACCTCCACTCAGAAGTGTGTAGTCCCTGGACTGAGAAGGATCCTGGGGGTCTTCTCCAGACATTAATGCATCTGTCTCCCACCTCACCTTCCCCCACAGACCATGACACCTCACTGAGCGTGAGCATCCCCGAGCCTTCCCCGCTGCGAGTCCTCCTTGGAAGTTCCCTCACCATCCCCTGCTACTTCATCGACCCCATGCACCCAGTGACCACTGCCCCCTCCACTGCCCCCCTCGCCCCGAGAATTAAATGGAGCCGAGTGTCTAAGGACAAGGAGGTGGTCCTGCTGGTGGCCACCGAGGGGCAGGTGCGAGTCAACAATGCCTACCAGGACAAGGTCTCGCTGCCCAACTACCCAGCCATCCCCAGCGACGCCACCCTGGAGATCCAGAACCTGCGCTCTAATGACTCCGGGGTCTACCGCTGCGAGGTGATGCATGGCATCGAGGACAGCAAGGCCACTCTGGAGGTCGTGGTGAAAGGTGAGGCCCGTCCCCAGATACTCTGCTCCCCAGCAGTAAGAACTGGAATGGTGTTCCCAGTGCTGTGAGCCCAGCTTCTCCATTCACTGGTGTGGACCTCAGTCCAATGACTTGACCTCAGTCACTTCTTCTGTAAAATGGGCCTGGTAAGATTCTCTCTGGAGAATTGCAGAAACAAAATAGCACTGAATCCATCCTGGCCACTCTCGCTTGAAAAATGGTAGCTTGTACTACAAAACAACCTTGTGTTTTGGAGGACTGTGTGATTATCCCCACTTTACAGGCAGGCAAGTTGAGGTTATGTGACTTGCCTGAAGTCACCCTGGAAGTGCATCAGAGCAGTTTATTCCATTCTGTTCCCTCCCTCACCTCAACACTTACTCCCAGTTCCAGAAGCCAAGAAAGGGGTTCCCTTCCTCTCTGTAGCCTCCCAGGAATGGTTGGCACCTGGCTGACTTTCGGAGTTGGTCAGCACCAGTTTTTCATGGTGGAAGGGGCATTAGGAGGCTCTGTGAAAGACTCCCACTTCTGGAAGTACCTTAAACAACATCTCTACCAGGATCCCCCTAGCCTGAGTGTGCCAGGGGCTCTGAAAGTTTCTGGTCACAACGCAAATGTGGGATCCTGGAATGATACTAGAAGATAACAGAGAGGCAGACAAATTTTGGCTCAGTCCAAGGAAGGGTTTTCTCCTCATCGGCAGTATTAGGAAAGGAACACCTGTGAGGTAATGAGCTCCCTGTCAATAGAGGTATTCCAGTGAAGGCATGAGGACTTGGGAGAAATGTGGACAGGAAACCAGTGCATCAGCTCAGTGTCCCTGAGGTCCAAGGACGTCACTGACTGGGAACCGCCTGACCTGCTGTCCACTGCTCCTGTCTTGCAGGCATCGTGTTCCACTACCGAGCCATCTCCACACGCTACACCCTGGACTTCGACCGGGCACAGCGGGCCTGCCTGCAGAACAGCGCCATCATCGCCACACCCGAGCAGCTGCAGGCTGCCTATGAGGACGGCTTCCACCAGTGTGATGCTGGCTGGCTGGCTGACCAGACCGTCAGGTGAGATTCCTGCCCACAAGTCAGTGGGCATCCACGCTGAGGCAGCAGGGTGTAGAGGTCACAGCAGAGTGGGGCAGGTGGTGGGGCCAGCTGGGGCCCGAGAGACACGGGCAACAGCCTGAACTGAACTGGGGGCTGGTGGCGCCTTGGCCAACACTAGGCCTCATTAGCTTGGTAGGAAACTTGGATGTAACACAGGGCTTAATCGATTCCTTGTTTTTGTAAATAAAGTTTTATTGGGATATACCTATGCCCATCATTTACATTTTATTATTTATATTTTACACTACAAAAAGAATGGAGCAGTTTCAACTTCATATGGACTACAAAGCTCATATTTGTTATATGATCTTTCACAGAAAAGCTTGCCAGTCTCAGGAACAGGCTGCCTGGAACCAAAGTAGAGTCAGACAAGGGTGCAGTCCTCAGCACTGTACTCTAATAGCTGGAAACAGTCTGTGAATCCGGGACAGACCAGTGGGAGGCATGGCCCAGTCACCGTGCCCTCCTCTGAGTGAGGACATTGTGTCCCTGGCTCCTTTCCTTGAGTACCATGCCTCCGCCTTGCAGGTACCCTATCCACTTGCCCCGGGAAGGCTGCTATGGAGACAAGGATGACTTTCCCGGCGTGAGAACCTACGGCATCCGAGACACCAATGAGACCTACGACGTGTACTGCTTTGCCGAGGAAATGGAGGGTGAGGCCCCCTCACTGCCCCTTCACCCCACTTACCTCATTCCCACCCCAGGGGCCAAACTGGCCTGCCAAGAAGCGAGGGTATGGGATGCCACATTTGGTTGACCAAAGACAAATGTAAGCACCAGTCAGAGTGGCTACCCTGCAACCAGAACCCTCCCTGTAAGAGACGCCTGCTGCCCCAGCCCTCCCCTGGCACAGCCTTGTCAGATTGTTAGAAGTAATAATATTACTGAAAGAGTGAATAGGCCCCACCTAATAACGTCCCTAAGGACTCCTTTGGGCCTAGACCCTCTGCTTGAAACTTCAGTTCTAATGGGTCAGGAAGGAGCCCTAGGAGGTGAAGTCAGTGCATTTTGTGTTGGGCAGCTGATAAAAAAGTCAGAGGTTCAAAACCATCATCCACTTTTCAGGGAAGAGGTGGACTATCTCCTCCCAAAAACAGTTATGGCCAAGGAAGCCTGGTGAAGGGTTACCAGGAGTCAGAACCGACCAAGTGTCCAGAGGTTGGGCTTGGTTTTCAGAGTGTGATGCTTTCTGATGCCTCAGAATTTGAGTGTTTGGAAAAGACCTGTCTGAGCAGGCAGTGCTGACCCCAGAGGAAAGGCCCCATGGAGGTGATACGTGGCACCCAGCACCGATGCTTCTCAGCTGACAGCGTTTCATCCTGTAAAGCCACACTATCATTTGTCACGTGGATCACACCTTGCTTCTTTCAACTGTGATACGTGTGGACACATAACAAAACATTATCCAATTTTTTTGCATGAGCAGTTACACTCCACCTCATTGCCACCAACTCCATTCCGGCTCATAACTGACCTTGCATAGGTTCCCAAGGCTGTGAACTGCACAGGAGGAGATTGCCCATCTTTCTTCCCTGGGACCACTGGTGGAATCAGACTGCCAGAAAGTCGCCCCCTGTGGGTTATCAGCACAACAGGCAGCACCACCAGAGATAGACAGTTTCATTACTTGCAACTATTGCCACTATCTGCTTCCACATATTCCTATCTACCTTACCAGGAATCCTGCACTTTCAAGAACTGAGCCCTCTTACTCCCCCGTCCCCTCCCTGGGAACCATTAATGACTTTTAGTGTGGGCATGTGTTGATTTATCACGAGTGAACCTTGTAATGTTTAAGGAAAAAAAAAAGGTTGCATTAACTCTTGACTCGTGGTAACCTGTGTGTGTCGGTAGAATGGTGCTCAAGGAGTGTCTAGTCATTGATTATTTCAGAAGTAAATCACCAGGCTTTTCTTCTGAGGTACCTGTGGGTGGACTTGAACCTCCTTTTCGTTAGTGGCCAAGCATATTAACTGTTTGTACCACAAGGCCCCGGGTCCGTACTTGGTTTTTCTGGGGGTGCAGGGTGGTGGATGTGGAGGGAGCTCTCACTCTGTGCCTGTGTCCCTAACAGGTGAGGTGTTCTACGCCACATCCCCTGAGAAGTTCACCTTCCAGGAGGCAGCCAACGAGTGCCGGCGGCTGGGTGCCCGACTGGCCACCACGGGCCAGCTCTACTTGGCCTGGCAGAGCGGCATGGACATGTGCAGCGCCGGATGGCTGGCCGACCGCAGTGTCCGCTACCCCATCTCGAAGGCCCGACCCAACTGCGGGGGCAACCTTCTGGGTGTGAGGACCGTCTACGTGCATGCCAACCAGACGGGCTACCCAGACCCTTCATCCCGCTATGACGCCATCTGCTACACAGGTGGGCAGGGACTGCAGGTGGTCACATCCCTGTGACTGGAGCTCTGGGGAGAATGTGGAAAGGGGAATTGGTTGGTTTTTCATGCCTTCAAGAGGCCACTGGGTCCCTGAACTCCCATGGTTTTGGTAACCAGTTGCCATTAAGTGAGTTCTGACTCCGAGAACCCCACATGTGCCAGAGTAGAATTGAAAACTATAGGGTTTTCAGAGGTTGGATTTAAGTTGTGGATGGCCAGACTATTCTTGTGAGGTAGTTGAGTGGACTTGAACCATCTTTTGAGTTAGCACCTCAGCACTTTAACAGTTTGCACTACCCAGGGCCTCGCTCGCCTCTCCCCATTCTTCTGGTCCCTAGGAGTGCGAGGGGACGCATACTGGAGACAAACAAATCCAGCCCTATGTCCTCTCATCAGGGCAGGATTAGAAGCACAAGCTTTAGAATCTGCATTTTCTGAGATTTGACTTCCAGCTCTGTTTGTTACATTATGACTCTGGAAACGTCAGGGCCTTGAGCTCCACTTTCCTCATCCATGTAGTAGGGAGATGTGGCTTGCCCTCTACTGCCTGCAGAATGACAGGGTAACAGAGGGCTGAGGTGAGACCAGGCTTCCCAGGAGATCATTGTTACCTGCCCTTTTGGACTCAACCTGTAGAAAATTCAAACTCATTGCTGTGGAGCTGGAGCGGGCCTATAACTGGCCTTCCCGTGGGTCTTCAGAGCTGTAGAGCACGCGTGATCTTGCCCATCTTTCTTCTGTGCAGTCACTGGTGGGTTCAAACCACCAGAGGGGCATTTAGCAGTGCAACTCCCCATGCGCTAGACTAAAAATGTTATTGAAGAGAGAGGAGAAAGGTTTGATTAGAACTTTATCTTTAAAAATTGACACTAAAAGTTTTGTTCAACAATGAATGAATGGAAATCCAAAATCTCTGTAAATTTTCATTATAATTAAGAATAATAATTTTCATTAATAATAATAATAAAAAGGGGGGAAGAGCCTATCTATTCAAGAGACCCAAGATACCAAGAACTGAAAAAAAAGTCCTTTTAAAATATTAGATTATTAAAGTGGCATTTTGTGTGTTTCAGAAAAATTAATATGTGGATTTATTTTCAAAATGTAGCTCATGCCAACAATTTTATTATGTTAAATCTTTTCTATAACTTAATAGACTTTGTTGTTGTTGTTGTTATGTGCCGTCGAGTCATTTCCTACTCATAGCGACCCTATGCACAACAGCTCTATCCTGCGCCAACCGCACCGCCTCTGACACACCCATCCCGATTACCCCAGTCACCGAATCAATCCATCTCATAGAGGGTCTTCCCCTCCTGCGCTGTCCCTCCACCCTCCCAAGCATGATGTCCCTCTCCAAGGACCCGTCCCTCTTGGCAACATGTCCAAAGTATGTCAGACGAAGCCCCAGAATCCTTGCCTCCAAGGAGTAGCTTGGTTTAATCCTCTCCAAGATGAATCTGTTTGTTTTCCTGGCAGTCCATGGTACATTCAGTACCCTTCTCCAGCACCACAGCTCAAAAGCATCCACTCTCCTTCTGTCCTCCCTAGTCATTGTCCAACTCTCTGATGCATAACAAGCGATTGCAAATACCATGGCCTGTATCAGGCGCACCTTAGTCTCCAGAGAGACACTGTTGCTCCTGAGTACCTTAGAGAGGTCCCTAACAGCAGACTTTCCCATCGCGATACGCTTTTTGATTTCCTGACTGCTGGTGCCAAGAGTGTTGACTGTGGAGCCGAGCAAACTGAAGCTGTGAACACTCTCAATCTCTTCGTCATCCATCCTGATGCTGCCAATTGGTCCAGTGGCGAGAATCTTTGTCTTCTTGACATTGAGCCTTAGTCCATACTGAAGGCTGCAGTCCTTGACCCTTCGCAGCAACCTTTTTTATGCGGGTAACTAGGTCAAGAGCTGGTTCCTGACTGTGAGGAAATCATGTCCTGACCATGGTGTACCCATTACATGCCTTATTTCCTATTTCTTTTTTTGTTTGTTTATGCCTCGGTAATAAAGTACCTTCTATGGGGGGAAAATATAATGTTTAAATTTAACAAAAATTTTCACCCAAAAACTCATTGCCCTCAGGTCAGAACCAATTCATAGTGACCCTCCAGTGGGTTTTCAGAGGCTGTAAATTGCACGGCGGGAGACTCCATCCTTCTGTTAAGCAGCTAGTGGATTCGCACAGCCAGAGAGACCCCCGCTTTGAGTTAGCAGCGTAACTCCTTAGGAACTAGGCCCCCTAGCTGGTATTAATTGTAATACTCAATTATAAAGTTTATATCCATCAAGGATTACATGGTCACTTACAATTAAGTGCTATTCTTGAGGGGAAAAAACAATGGATGAGAGGTTCTATAAATGTATGCAGAACTGATGTTGACACAGTGATGTATTTCCTGTCATGTTTAACTGCCACAGCCTGATGTTTTATAAAAAGAATTAAATATGCAAAAATAATTATGATTTTAGAAATTTCCCCTAGAGTCTCTCAACTCTTTGATATTCTAACCATTCTCCACCCCCCCCATCCAGTTAATATTTATTGGAAACTTACTTTATGCCAGACATATGTGATACATTAACAATTTTTTAAAAAGAGATTCCTGCCCTTAAGGAGTTTACAGTCTTGGAGGAGGAGACAGACAATAAATAATAAACAACATACTTACCTAACTTACATAGTGTGACAGAAACTGGAGAGTATCACAGGACGGATGAGAGGAGCAGGGGAGGGAGAGCAGGGGTGCTGGAGAGGAGGCTGCACGCTAGATAGTCAGGCAGGTTTTCAGTGAGGAAGTGGGTTTGAATCTGGACTTAAGGGGAAGGTAAAATTTACCCTCCTGGATTAACATGTGCTTGGTGGACAAGTCTCCATGGAATGGGTGACATTGCTCTAGGGTATCTCTATCATTTATTTTATTTTGTTCTTGAGAGATTTTTTTAATTGTAAAGAACATAGAGAAAACAATATTTGCCAATTCAGTCCATGTTACCTGTACAGTCCAACAGAACCAATTGACATCAATCACATCGTGCCACCCTCACTAAGCACTCTTTCAGAGGTAGCTTCATTCACAGTGGAAGGTGTCTCTTTTTCAGTTGTTAACTGGTCCCTTTAGTCTTCCTCTTCCATGATTGTCATATGAGTTGGTTACCAACCTCGCTTTCATCAACGCCATGACCCCCTGCATCTTCTTCAAGATTACAGTTTCCCTCTGTAACCAATTTGCTTTACTCCATTGGTTACTATTTTAGGTGGTGTTCAAGGGGGAGGGAATTGTTGTTGCTAGGTGATAACGTTGTTGGCTCTTCCTCATGTCCAACAGGACCAAGCCCTGCCCCATTCTCCCCCATCCTCCTCCACTGATGCATACACTGTCAGGCCATCTCCTTTAAGTGGTATAAATTAAGCAGAAAGAAATGCAAGTGCTGAAATGGGATTTTTTTTTCTTTTTTAGAGCAGCAAACTGGTTGTTGTCTTTTGCTGAGAATGTTCTTAAGTCCTTTTGCAATCTTACAGAGACCTCTATATTGAACAGAGAGTAATGGTGAGAGTACATAGTGAGGACCCTCCAGTGAGCTGGGCTGGGGCCTGTACACAGTGGGTGCTTTCCTGACCCACAAGGGCAGGAGGAGGATCCAGTGCTCTCTCCAGCCCACTTGTCTGCTCCCCAGCCCAGCACCCACAGTGTATCTTTGCGCTCACCCCACCCAGGTGAAGACTTTGTGGACATCCCAGACAACTTCTTCGGAGAGGGAAGTGAGGAGGACATCACCATCCAGACAGTGACCTGGCCTGAGATGGAGCTGCCCATGCCCCGAAACGTCACCGAGGGAGAAGCCCGAGGCAACGTGATCCTCACAGTGAGGCCCTTCTTCAGCGCCTCACCCACCCCCCTAGAGCCTGAGGAGCCCTTCACACTGACTGCTGCCTTCCCCGAGCCTGAGAACCAGACAGCAGAGGCCACCAGGCCCTGGGCTCTTCCCGAGGCCTTCACCAGTGAGGACCTGGCCGTGCCAGTGACCATCGCTCCAGGTGTAGCCAGTGTCCCTGGGCAGCCACTCTTGCCAGGGGGTAAGTACCCCCTTCTCAGTGCTCAAAGGGGCCTGGTGGGAAGAACTGGCTTGGGATCAGGAAGATGCTCTGAAACCTGGGCCAGGCAGATCTCTTCTCAGCTTCGTTGTTGTTATGTGCTGTCAAATTGCCTGCAACTCATAGGAACCCTATGTAAAACAGCTCTGAACCCTGCCTTCTCCTGAGCCAGTCTCACTGATTCCAGCACACCTACCCCCATTGCCCTAGTTTCTATATCAATCCATCTCATCCTGGGTCTTCCCCTCCTGCACTGTCCCTCCACCCTTCCAAGCATGATGTCCTTCTTCAAGGACCTATTCCTTCTGGCCACATGCCCAAAGTATATGAGGCAGCTTCAAAATCCTAGCCTCCAAGGAACAACTTGGTTTCAGCTCTCCTCAGAAAGGGGACAGATCTAACAGTTGTCATGAGCCATGAGCCTTAATTAATTACTAATAGACATATTACAAAATCCAATTACAGTTTATTGATTAATTAATTAATAGCAATAATCAATTGTAATTTATTTACATTGCAATTAATAAATTCATCACAACATATTGATTCATTAATTCATAGCAAGCATTAAACAGTTAATTGCAATTTATCTACATTGCAATTAATAAATTCATAATAAATATAATTCATAGGATAGTGGGGAACATTCACCCCTGTAAGCCCAACTTGTCACTTTCTTTGACCTCTCATGGCCACTGGTGCAGTTCAGGTTCTTGGCTAGTTCAGCAATTCACAGCCACCAGTGTGGCCAGAGTCAGCAACTCACAGCCACTGGTGTGGCCAGAGTCAGCATCTCACAGCTACTGTTGTGGCCAGAGCCTTTGGCTCTGAAAAGAGCTTTTGGGTCTTCTGCTCTGAAAGGAGCCTTTGGGTCTTCGGCATTTAGCTCAGTGTTCAGCTCATTGTTTTCAGCGAAATTGAGAGTTTCTGTTGAGCTCTGAGAGTTTATATACTTTTGGAGTTTTACACTGTATTCAACTAATAACATTCAAACTTTGGGTTACATTATATTTAACTAATAATATTAAGAATAACAACAATCAAACTTTGGGATTTACTAACCATGTTAGTTTCAAAACAAGTTGTATAACCAGTCACATTAGTTCCAAAGCAACATGGCTTTGACCAATCATGTTATATACCAGTTACATTCCCTTAACAACATGGGCAGTAACAAGTCACATTCCCTTATTGGGGGTTTACACATGTTGCGGCCAGTGGGGCCTTACAGGGAAGTAAAGGCCTATTTGGGCATATTTACATCAAACTGTTGTAGTACACTTCGGTATATATATTTTCACATCAAATTCATAACATGTTTTCATAACAAACTTGTATATTTTCATAACAAATTCATAACATGTTTCTTATTCTTAAGGCAATATGTTTTCACATCAAACTTACACTTTAAGCTGCTCATAACACCAATGATGTCCCAAATTCTCTCCTTTTTTAAAACAAAGAAAAAGTATTTTTGAGTGTGAGTTTACACAGTAAATTTGGTTCTCATCTGAAGTTTTCTATGCACATTGCTCAGTGGTCATGCGCACATTTATTATAAAGTGTCAGTAGGCTCTTCTGTTGTATTCTGGTTCTTTTGTTTACAGTACTCTAGTTTCCCTGCCCCATCTCATCTTCACTTTAAAGTGAAAACTGGTTGACTTTTGTATAAATGGTTTTTAAGTAGAGCACTGTAAATGTCTTCTATTTTGTGTGCTGCTTGATAATCTCACTCAGAGTTGGCCTCTGAACAGATCCAGGTCTACATTTAAAGAGCATCTTCTTAGGACTATGCTAGTCTCAGTGGTCCAGTGAGTCTGGCCTTTTCTAAAAACATTTTAAAGGGTTTTGTTCCTCAATTTGTTTGTGCTATCCATACTGTTTAGCCATGAAGGGTTTGCTACATGTAATAACACACTTGACAGTGAAGTGTGCACATCAGATAAAGAGGGCACACAGACTCGAGTGAAGTAGGGTGCAGCAAAGGAGCTCCTCCCATCCATGGCCCTCTGTGCCTCCTCAGGCACCTCAGAGGACACGGCCTCTTGAAAACCCCAGCACTAAAAATAAAAAAAAAAAAGAAAACCCCAGCACTGGGAGATCCATGAGCCTCTCCCAGGGTTCACTGTCCACAACAGAGGGCAGCACACTCTGACACTCTGGCCCAAGGGCCAAGTCCTCTTGCCACTTGTCTTCTGTGACCCACAAGCTAAGAGTGAGTTTTAAGTAGTTGGGGAGAAATCCATAGAAAGAACATATCATGATGTGAAAATCATGTGAAATTAAAATTCTACTGCCCACAAAAAATATGTTAAAAGAATACAGCCACCCCTGTTTGTCTTCCCGCCGCCGATGGCTGACACAGAACATCAATGGCAAAGTTGAATTCCAGGCGGTGTAGTCTACAAAGCATGCAATATTCACCACCTGGCCTTCTCCACAAAAGGCTTGCTGACTCCCGTTCTAAGACGACGGTGCTCCAGGTACTTAACAAATTTCTGTATAATTAGGGTGCCACAGAGAGTTGAGCTGCTCCCTGAACTCAGGTCCATAAATGGGGACAACTTTTGGGGTGGCCTTCTCAAAGTCTTTAGTGGTGTCCCCTCCACCAAATGTACATCCACTCACACACTATGGGGAGAAGGCCCTAGGACAGAGGCTCTTACTTGTGTGTGGATCTTAGCCTTAAAGAACCCGATAAAATCTAGGGGCTGACTCCCTAAAAACTGTGTTGCACCCTCATACAAACGTTAAAGAACCTGATAAAATCTAGGAGCTGACTCCCTAAAAACTGTGTTGCACCCTCATACAAACGTTTGCAGCCACATTCAGGAGAGCTGCATACCCCCAGAACCATGGACTAAAGACCAAGCAGAGGAATTATCACTGAATATTTCCCTTCCTCCCTGTCCCTCTGTGTGTTCTCCAAATGTTCTTGAATAAATGTTTATCCTTTTTATAAGAAGAGAAAAAAATGTCTTTTTTGCTTTAAAGAGTAAATGGAAAATGAGCAGCTGTGCTGTGAAGTACCCAGAAAGGGGGTTTAGGGGACACCCAGGACCTAAGACTTTCTCAGAGATGTGGACAGTACGAGCAAACATAATGGTTTAGGAGGGAAACGCTGGAGGAATTATTTCTTAAATAGCTAGTGTGCCCTCTGCTCTTGCGTAACCATGAGGATGGGACACCCTGGTGTGTGGCCTGTGGCCCTGCTGTTCCCTGCTTGAACCTCCCTTTTCTCTTCCTACGCAGGGGTCGTGTTCCACTACCGCCCAGGGTCCTCTCGCTACTCGCTGACCTACGAGGAGGCACAGCAGGCCTGCCTTCACACGGGTGCCGTCATTGCCTCCCCTGAGCAGCTCCAGGCGGCCTACGAGGCCGGCTATGAGCAGTGTGATGCTGGCTGGCTGCGGGACCAGACTGTAAGGTGAAGGAAGGGCCCCAGTACCTCCCATCCCATCTCCGAGAGCCTGGCCTCATACCCAGCACAGACCTAGACATTCAGACTCATTGGTGTATTGGCATAACCATACCTACTTCTTTAATCTCTCTTGAGTCATACTCTGAGGAGCTAAGGAAAGGCCCTGACCAGGCTAAATCCTTGACAGTTGGCCCCTAGAGACCTAGAGAGAAATCTCCTGTTACAGAGACCCTTTCTCCAGCTGCCTTTCCCTGGGGCCTCAAGGCACCAGATCCTCAGCGGCAAAAGGAACTGGGGAGTGATCTGTGCAGGCATTTGCCTCATAAGGGTCTGTTTCCTGGTTTGGATCTCATCTAATGACCCAAGACACACCCTTCCCAGTCCCTCAGGGGCCTCCCACTGGGCCCCGAGAGAAGCCTCTCATCTTCCTTTCCCCCTTTCTTTTCAGATACCCCATTGTGAGCCCAAGGGCCCCATGTGTGGGGGACAAGAACAGCAGCCCAGGGGTCAGGACCTATGGTGTGCGGCCCTCATCAGAAACCTACGACGTCTACTGTTACGTGGACAAGCTAGAGGGTACAGGCCACATCCTCACGTCCAGGGTGGGGCCAGCAGGGAGTAGGGTGGGAAGCGGGAAGCAGTCACCCATCCCCACCCAGCCCCCCATGAGGTCAATCCCTTGGAACCTCTGCCACACACGCTTTGTGTTGTTTATTTCAGCGTGGTAGGCAGATAAATCCACATTGTTATTGTGGGTTATCACTTCAGAACAACTCAGCTGTCCCTCTAGGGGGTTTTCATGTAAATTGCACAGAAGAAGCTGGTGGATTTGAACTACATGACTCTGGGTTGGCAGTGTAACTCCTTACCATTAGGCTACTCAAGCTCCCTGATAAATCCATGTAAATTATCCTAAATGTTATACTTCTGCCACTTGCAAAGTCCCAGGGAAACCATCAGTAAGTCTAAAGCTCTGAGAGTCTTGTAGTTAAAATGGAAGTCCAGCTCATCCCAAGCTATTCTGACCACAGACCTTTGTTTTGACCATAGATAGACCTTTTACTTCATTTCTTTCCAATTTAACATCCTTCAAGTTAGCTCCACTGAACCCAATTTTTAAATTTTGTGAGTGGAAAAGATATCAGTACTGTCAATCCCTTGTTTGTGGACTGTGAACAGATTGCTTAACCTGTTTAGGGCTCAGTTTCTCCAGCTATAAAGTGGGCCTGATTTATACCCACCTCAGAGGCTCCTGAGTTTTGAATGAAGTATGTCAGAAAGGTGCCTGGCAGGAGTAGCTGGTCAGCTAATGAGCTTCCTTCTCCCTAAGTCAGATGGGCACTGGGACTTGTGCTGGGGGAAGGGAAGCTATGGTTACAGGACCCCATCCCTGCCTTGGTGAGCTCTCAGGAGTGGGGTGGGGAGAGGGCAGGGTAACTGCAATCACAGTCCCTGAGGAGCTGCCCCTCTTAGCATCCCTGGAGGTGGAGGTGCCTGGGCATGATCGCAGAATTCAAAAAGGCTAGAGCAGTGTGCCTTTCCCAGCAGAGGGACCAGACAAACTGTTTGACTGAGACTTCTCAATTCTTAGTACAGAAAGCTCCAAATCTCAGGAAAGCCTTGTCCCATCCAAACCAGAATGGCTGGTCACCCACCGTACTTCCCATTGTCCCAGGAGACTTAAAGGAGTGGTTGGGAAGGAGCCTATTTGAGCTGAGCTGAGCTGGGTCTTGGACCTGTGTATGCCATGGGTGTGGGGTTGGGTGGGCATGAGGGTAAGTGAGGGGCCCTCCTGGGGAGAGCAGGGCTGCTCTGCACAAGAGTACAGAGGGTCCCACACGGCCTCCTGTGTCTGCCACCAGGGGAAGTGTTCTTCGCCACGCGCCTGGAGCAGTTCACCTTCCAGGAAGCCCTGGAGTTCTGTGAATCACAAAATGCCACACTGGCCTCCACGGGCCAGCTCTATGCTGCCTGGAGCCGCGGCCTGGACAAGTGCTACGCCGGCTGGCTGTCGGATGGCAGCCTCCGCTACCCCATCGTCAATGCGAGGCCCGCCTGTGGCGGGAACCAGCCCGGTGTGAGGACAATCTACCTCTACCCCAACCAGACCGGCCTCCCAGACCCGCTGTCCCGGCACCATGCCTTCTGTTTTCGAGGTAGGAACTGCCCCTCTGCTCCAGAGTCCCCAGCTCAGCCCTGCAGGCCCTGCCCACTGCACCCCTTCATTGGTACAAGGGAGGGGTCAGTCCGTCTGGGGCAAGGACCTTTATTCTTCACTGTTGTTGTGTGGTAACGAGTCAGAACCACTAAGTCATAGCTGACCTGCTGGAGGTTTTTAGAGAGATTATCCATCCTTTGCCTGCAGAGCTGCTGGTGGCTTCAAATCACGTGACTTTGGGATTGCAGCTCAGGTTCTTACCACTAAGCACTGGAGCAAGAATCATTTGTGTTGCTAATAGCCTAGATAATAGGGGGCTCTGGTGGCCTGATGGTACTTGGTACACAACACACACAACAGTAGCCTGGACAGGGCAAAGTTCAGAGCCATTATTCATAGGTTCACTGTGGGTGGAAGCTGACTCTAGGGCACACATCAATATGGACAGTAGCCTAGAGGGAGCTTTGGTGTGGTAAGGGGCTCACTGGTTCTGCTGGTCCTCTTATAGATTTACATATCAAAGCCCTGTTAAGAGGTGGTGAAGGGAGTCAGACTTCTCTACTGGTAATAGAAGAGGTCACTTCACCAGTGGGAGTAGGGCTGAGAGAATTTGCTCCCAGTTGCAGGAGAAGGATGCTGGGCAAATCCTCTGGAAGGACTTTTTAACTTTTTTAATATTTTTAACTTCTTATGAGCCTATAATTAGTTCAAAATAATTTAAAAAAAAATTAGTAAAACTTGCATACCCCTCAAGGTTCTTGAACTTTCCAGGGTAATCTTTTAAAACCCAGAGTAAGTACCAGCCTCAGGAAGGCTTGTCCCCACTCAGAGGATTACCTGGCCACTTAACCTTAGTTTACCCATCTGTGAAATGGGATAGCAGTAACCTATCTCCTCAAGTTATGATCAAATTAAATGCTTTTGTGTGCATTAAACCCTTAGAGAGAGGCCTCAGTCAATTCTGCCCCCAGAGCTCCCTGAGAAGTGCTACTGACTATGTGCATGTGGAGGCCATCTAGTGGATGGGAATGAGACGTGTTCTTTGTTTGCCTGCTCTGGGTGGCATGGGGATATACAGAGTCGGGTTCCTCTACAAAAGGGTGAGCTCGTGGATGCATCAGCAGAAATGCAGAGAAGCTCACTGGTCACATCCCCTCCAGGTGCTTCAGCAGTGCCGTCACCAGGAGAGGAGGACGGTGGCACGCATGCACCCCCGTCCGGCGTGGAGGACTTCATCCCCCCCGAGGTGGTGCCTGGAGTGGCTGCTGTCCCCTTGGGGGAGGAGACGACCATAGTGCCAGTCTTCACCGCTGAGCCAGAAAACCGGACAGAATGGGAACCAGCCTACACCCCAGCGGGCATTTCCCCATTGCCTGGTCAGTGTGGTGGGCTGTGGGCAGGCCCTGAGGCTACAGGCTCCTGTCAGCCCAGGGTGTGCCTGGGGATAACATCTCTCTCTGGTGTTTATGCTGCTTCCTGAGCCACAGTTCTGGACCTGATGCTGCTGTGGGCAGGGTCAGCCACCTCTGCTGGCCTCTTGGGCCTCCCCCTCCCCCTGCCATGACAGAAACAGCAGTACCCTGAATGTGTCCTTGGCTGCCCTGTGTCTGTGTGGATGGGACTGTGAAGGGAGCAGCAAGGCTCTCCCCTCCCTCTCTCCTTTTCTTCATCCTTCTTTTCCTCCTGAGGCACCATGCAAGGACCCCTTAAAAAGCGTATGAACACAGCTCTGAGTTCTTCCTCCCCCCTTTTTACTGTGATTTGAGTAAGTTAGCAGAGCACAATGGTGCCTGTTCAACAGTTCTTACCTGTTCTATTTCCCAACATTGGTTACAGTCCCTGCCATTGGAATAGCATCTTTCTGCTTCCTCCTTCTGTTTCCATTTCCATCTGTTCTTCTCTCCTATCCCTTCCTGCCTTCTCAGCTCTTTCTCTGAGCAAGTGCTGCCCTTTGGTCTTATTTGGTTGATTGCTCGAAGGAGTGTGTCCCTCCCTGGTGGTATCAAGTAAGTTGCTAGGCCTGGGAGCTCGGGTCCTTAGTCACGTGGAACACCAAGGCCAACTGGCATAACATAGTCCACAAAGTCAGTGTGCTGTATCCTGCTTTGGTGAGTAGCCACTGGGGTCTTAACAGTTTTCAACTGGCTCTCTAAGGTGTAACAATTATGCTTTTCCCATTTGGAGCAAAGAGAAGCAAACAAACAAACAAAAGAAAGACTCTTAGTCCAGAGGACTAGTGGACTACACAAACTTCAGTCTCCACAACCCTGAGACCAGAAGAGGTAGATGGTACCCAGCTCCCATGGCAGACCACTCTGAAAGAGGCCACAATCGAAGACCCCTGAGAACATGGGGGAAATGACAGAATAATATTCAAAATCAAAATGGAAAACTGTGTTCTTGAGAGAAAAGGTTTACTGTGGAAAGAATGGTGTTTTACTTCTCTAGATGAAATTTTCATATGAATTTTAAATGGTGTGTGTTGTTATGTGCTGTTGAGTAGCCTGCAACTCATAACAGCCCGATATACAGCAGCTTTGAAGACTGTGCTATGCCGAGTCAGTCTCGTTTTCTCTGATACACTTACCACCATTACTCCAGATGGTGTATAACCCATCTTATCCAGTCTTCCTCTCCTGCACTGTCCCTCCACTCTTCTGAGCATGATGTCCTTCTCTAAGGAGCAGTCCCTCCTGGCCACATGCACCAAATATGTGAGATGGATATTCAAAATCTTAGTTTCCAAGGAAAAGATTGCTTTCACTCTCTCCAAAATATAGCTCTTTGGTTTTTGTTTGTTTGTTTGTTTGTTTGTTTTTTCATTATCTGAGCATTATCTTTCTTCCAAGCTTTCTAGTTGTTTTGGTTTTGTTTTTTTTTAATGGAAGTTTATAGACACTTTGGATTTCCAGTTATTCATTGTTGCACAGTTTCCTCCCTGCCCACCCTTCCCTCCCCTCCAAGTTTGCTTCTCTTTTAAAAGTGTTGTTGTTGTTGTTATGTGCCTGATAAATCGTCCACCTATCCTGACCCCACATTTCTCCTCATAGAGCCCTGCCTCTCGGATAATCTGTTCTGCACATAGGTTTAAAAGGTATGGAGATAGGATGCATCCCTGGCGTACGCCCTTCCCAATTTTGAACCATGCTGTGTTCCCTTGCTCTGTTCTGACGACTGCCTCCTGGTCCAAGTATAAGTTTCGCATTAGAACGATCAAGTGTTCTGGGATTCGCATTCTTCTCAGAGTCAGCCATAGTTTGTTATGATCTACACAGTCAAATGCCTTTGCATAGTGAATGAAACACAGATAGACATTCCTCTGGTATTCCCTGCTTTCAGCCAAGATCCATCTAACATCAGCTACAATATCTCTAGTACCACGATCCCTTCTGAAATCAGCCTGGACTTCTGGTAGTTCCCTGTTGGTGTGCTGTTCCAGTCGTTTTTGGATAATCTTCAGTAAAATCTTGCTTGCATGTGTAAAAATAAAAAAATTCTTTGATTGTTACACAATCCCTCCCACCCCAGTCCACTCCACTATGCAGCTTTCATTCTAGACTCTTGTCATGACAATAATATCTAATCATACATTCCTCCTAAACAGGTCTCTTCCTCATCTGTTTCAATGCAGTATACATTATTTATCCCCTCTTAGTTACTCTCCAACTCCATTGTCAGACCTGCTTTACAACAGTGACACTATGCAATATTTGTCCTTTTGTGACTGAGATATTTCACTCAGCATAATGTCCTCCAGAGTTACCCATTTTGTATAATATTTCATGAATTCCTTGTTTTTCAGTGCAGCATAGTATTCCGTTGTGTAAATATACCACAGCTTCTCTAGCCATTCATTTGTTGATGGGCACTTAGGTTGTTTCCAGCTCTTTGCTATTGTGAACAAAGCTGCCATAAACATGGGTGTGCATATATCTGCTTGGATGTTAGTTATGGTCTCTTTGGGGTATATCCCCAGTAGTGGAATTGCTGGGTCAAATGCTATCTCTACTTGCAAATTTTTGAGAAAGCACCATACCGCCTTCCACAGTGGCTGTACCATTTTACACTCCCACCAACAGTGCATAAAGGTTCCAGTTTCTCCACAACCTCACCAGCATTTGTGGCTTGCTGTTCTGTTAAATTTTGCTATTCTGACTAGGGTGAGATATCTCATAGCTGTTTTGATTTCCATCTCTCTGAGAGCTAGGGATTTTGAACATTTCTTCATGTGTTTGTTCGCCATCTGAATGTCTTCTTTGGTGAAGTTGACAAAATTGGAAAACTAACTGTAGAAAACTCAAGCAAGATCTAGGACTAAAACCAAGGACTATAAACTTCATTAGAGAAAAGCTTGGAAGAACTCTAGGAGCCCTAATCCACAACATGAACAGTCTTCCAAGCATCCTGGAAAATCTACACCCAGGAGAGGATAAAATAGATGAATGGGACCTCCTAAGAATAAAATCCTGTTGTTGTTGTTGTTGTTGTTGTTGTTGTTAAGTGCCATGAATTGTAGACAGCTCCTAGCGACATTATGAATGAAAGTCCTCAACCCTTACATGACTTTCATCCTTTCTCCAGGTTCATAGGGTTTCTGGAGGCAAGCTATTACGGATGTGGATGCCACTCCTGCTTCCAAGCTTGTTTTAATCAGGGAGCTCCAAAAATCCCTATACATATCCAAAAACTCCAACAGAGTAAAAAGGGAAGCCACAGACTGGGAGAAAAAAAATATTTGGTAATGACATATCTGGTAAGGGACTTATACCTAGAATTTATAAAATACTCCAGCATAAAAACAAGATAAAGGGAAACAATCCAGTTGAAAAATGGGCAAAGGATATGGACAGACTCTTCACCAAAGAAGACATTCAGATGACGAACAAACGCATAAAGCTGTTTTCTTGGCGATCCATGGTATGTTCAAGACTCTTCTGAATGCACATTCATGTTTGTTGCGACTTTGTTCAGGATAGCAAGTAGTTGGAAATAATGTAAGTACCCATCAACAAACGAATGGATAGAGAAACTGTGGTATATTCACATAAAGGAATACTATGCTGCCTTGAAAAACAAGGAACTCATGCAATATTACTCAGAATGGGTGACCCTGGAGGACATTATGCTGAGTGAAGTATCTCAGTCACAAAAGGACAAATACTGCATGGTGCCACTGTTGTAAAACAGGACTGACATCGGGGTTGGGGGGAGACCGAGAAAGATGGGATAAATAATGTATACTGCATTGAAACAGATGAGGGAGAAAACTGTTTAAAAGGGATATGTGATTAGGTATTTTTGTCATGATAGGAGTCCAGAGCGAAGGCTGCATAGTGGAGGGGACCTGGGCGGAGGGAGGGATTGTAAAACAATGAAAGAATTTTTCTTTTACTTTTCAAAGAGAAGAGTGTCCTGGAGTGGGGGAGAGGTGGGCAGGGAAAAAAGTGCAACAATGAATAAATGGAAATCCAAAGTCTCTGTAAATTTTCATTAAAAATTAACAATTAAAAAAAATACTCTTCTCCACCACAACTCAAAGGCTTCGATTCTTCTTCTGTCATCCTTAGTCATTGTCCAACTCTCTGATGCATAGTAAGTAATTGCAAAGACCATGATCTGAATCAGGTGCACCTTAGTCCCTAGACTTACATTGTAGCTTCTCAGTACTCAGTACTCAGTAGACGTCCCTGACAGCAGGATTTACCAGTACAATTCATCTTTTGATTTCTTGACTGCTGGTGCCAAGAGTGTTGAATGTGGAGCCGAGCAAGCTAAAATTGTTAACAACCTCAATCTCTTCTCGATCTATCATGGTCCTGCCAGTTGACCCAGTGGTGAGAATCTTTGTCTTCTTGATGTTGACCATATTGAAGACTACAGTGATTGGCTTTCTGCAGCAAGTGCTTCAGGCCCTTCTCAGCTTTAACAAGCAAGGTTGCATCACCTGCATAACAACATAGATTGTTTATGCGTCTTCCTCCAATCCTGATGCCACTTTCCTCCTCATGAAGCCCAGCCTCCCGAAGGATCTGTTCTGTATATAGATTGAAAAGGTTTAGAGACAGAATGCACCACTGACACACTCCTTTCCTGATTGTGAACTATGCAATGTTTCCCTACTTTCTTCTGAGGAATACTTCCTAGTCCAACTATAGTTTTACATGAGCACAATCAAATATTCTGGGATTCCCATTCTCCTCAAGGTGAGCCACAATTTATTTTGACCCACACAGTCAAATGCCTTTGCAAAGTCAATAAAACACAGATAGACATTTCTCTGGTACCCTTCGCTTTCTACCCAAGATCTACCTGACTTTGGTGATAATGTCCCTAGTGCCATGATCTCTTCTAAATCCAGCTTGTATTTCTGGTAGTTCTCTGTCAATATATTGTTCCAGTCATTTTTTTTTTATATAATCTTCAGCAGGATTTTGCTTGCATGTGACATTGTTGATAATTTCCACATTCTATCGGGTCACCTTTTTATGGAATGGGAGTAAATAGGAATCTCTTCCAGTCAGTGGGCCAGGTAGTTGTCTTCCAGATTTTTTGGCACAACCTGGTAAGCACATCCAGGGCAGCATCTGTTTGTTGAAATATGTTAATTGGGATTAAATGAGGATAAGTTAATAAGTCTGTACCTTCTCTTTCTTGCTTCCTTTTTTACAGAAATCCCTGCTACATGGCCTCCCACTGGTTCACCAACAGAGGAAATCACAGAAGGGCCCTCTGTAACTGAAGTGCCATCCCCTTCAGAGGAACCGTTCACTTCAGAGGAACCGTCCCCCTCAAAGGAGCCATTCACCTCAGAGAAACCACCCCCCTCAAAGGCGCCAACCCCCTCAGAGGAACCTTCTCCCTCAGAGGAGCCGTTCCCCTCAGAGAAGCCTTCCACCTCAGAAGAACCATTCACCTTAAAGGAACCATACACCTCAGAGGAACCATCCACCTTCGAAGAACCCTCTGCCTCAGAGAAGCCATATATACCTTCCCTCATAGTGCCCAGCAGAACTGAATTGCCAGGCTCTGGGGAGGCATCTGGGGTCCCTGAAATCAGTGGTGACTTCACTGGCAGTGGAGAAGCTTCAGGAAGCTTTGAGTCCAGTGGGCAAACCTCGGGAGAAAGTGCCAGTGGACTACCTTCTGGGGATCTTGATTCCAGTGGTCAGACTTCCACAGTGGGTTCAGGGCTACCTACTGAAAGTGGACTAACCTCAGGGGAAGAAGAAAGGATAGAGTGGACCAGCACTCCAAAGACTGATGAACTGCCCAGTAGAGGCAAGGACATAGAGGGCTCTGCTTCTGGGGAAGATCTCAGTAGGCTTCCTTCTGGAGAAGGAGGTCCAGAAACCTCTGCTTCTGGTGAAGAAGACCTTAGTGGACTTCCTTCTGGAGGAGAAGGTCCAGAATCTTCTGCTTCTGGTGCAGAGGACCTTAGTGGACTTCCTTCTGGAGGACAAAGTCCAGAATATTTTGCTTCTGGTACAGAGGACCTTAGTGGACTTCCTTCTGGAGGAGAAAGTCCAGAATATTTTGCTTCTGGTACAGAGGACCTTAGTGGACTTCCTTCTGGAGGAGAAGGTCCAGAATCTTCTGCTTCTGGTACAGAGGACCTTAGTGGACTTCCTT